CTTTAAAGGGACCCATATTCTATCCACTTAAGGGGACTATAAACCCAATATATACCCTATTATACTATAGTAGTTTCCATTTTCTTTTCCATTATCCCTTTATAACCCCAATAATATACCCAAAGCCATCTTCTATCTACTTAAGGGGGAATATACCCTGAGCCCTCTGGCCTGGTGTCTCCTTCCTACACCAAGGCGTGTGGTGAGGGGCCATGGCCCTATGCGCCGGGCGGCTGACGAGGCCTGGCAACTGCTCGCTTGCTGAAATGCAGCACCTACCCTTACAAGTATCATAGGCTACTATAACCCTAACATACCCCCAACATACTACAGTAGTTTCCATTTTCTTTTCCATTATCCCAATATAACCCCAATAGAACACCTTAGTAGTTTCCATTTTCTTTTCCATTATCCCAATATGCCAGGCCAAGGACCTTTGCCCCGGTTGAATTGTTGCATGCACAATTTCTGCGTGCACTCGAGGGGCGGCCGCTTCCAGGAAGGGTTAAGCGATGGTTGAAGCACTTGTGGCATTGGAGTTTCGCTGGAAGGGGCATCCAGAGCAATGTTGTGAAGGCAGATCCGGTCAGCATTGTTAATCATAGAAGTTGGCAATGAGTGTCAACAAATAATTTAGTTGTGTCTTGCAGCTTGGGAGTTGGAAGACGCGGGTGTCTATACTCTCAGCACTTCGTTGGGCTGAACTCTTTGTTCTGGCACCCAAGGAGCACTAGATGCAGTCAGGGGCCGTGTCACGATGAGATCAATCGTCTTCCAGCGACCGCCATTTGACAAATTGTGTTTGAATGCTCTGGGGCCGCGATCAGTGCCCACACAATAAATCTTATGGCTGGTGCTCATGATCACCGACTGGCTATTCTTCGGCAGTCAAACTATCCAAGAGCATCTCATGTTTCAAACGACACGCGCAAGTCTTGAGGTCTTAAGCTGCACACGACTTCCAGTGCTGCTGCACAGGCTTTGAGCGTAAGACCGGGTAGGTCGAGGTGGCGTTTCGGGTCAGGTTGGCATTGGGCTTCAAACTGGAATCAACCACGGGGCTAAGGAGTTTATAGACAGACCCCCTAGCACAATTGCATGGAACAAAGTAATTCATGACTATCCCCTGGCCACCCCCTCCCGCCCCACCCCCAACACCCTCGCCGCACATGCCCATTGACCAACAAAGGCTCTGATCTTGCAAACTCTGAGCACACACAGTAGTAGTAATGAAGGCTGAAGAGTCGTTCGTCATTCTCTGGTAGCTGCTACTTTGCTTGTCAACTAAGCCATCAACTTTGACTGGTTTTGGACCACAGTGAAGGGAAGTGAAAACACGGGTAGATCAACACCAACTGTTGTTGGGAGTGCTTGAGCTGCGACTCAACTCTGCCACCGTCGGAGTGGCAGCAGGCAAGGGGGCCGAAAGAGGGGGTATCCTCTGTTCATTCGCGGGCGCGAGTCCCGTCCTCCCCTCTTCGGGGGAGTGAGAGGACTCTCGACTCTTGGGGTGTGCAGAAGGGCGGCCACTGTGGCAAGTTTAACAACACTGACACTGGGCAACCCGTGGCACCTGTGGCCGCAGTCAGTCGCTGAGGAATTTCAAGCTCAAGCCACTTGCTCTAGAGGCCCTGCAAGAGCCTGGGGCTGGGTGTGCGGAATCCATTCTGTCCCGCTACGAAGCTCCAGTCCAGGCCACTCTTGCTACTGCAGTCACCCCGTGGTAGGTAGCATCCCAAGAAATCTTTGCAAGGTCAAAAAAACACGCGGAGCACAAAAGACACATGATCGGGCTTGCCTCAGCCTTCACGCCGGCACCGTGCAGTTCAAGCATGATTCGCGGTTCAGGACCTCGGATAGTGCATGTATTTGGCTCACCTGTCCAACTTGGATGTCTTGGACAGAGTTTGGCTCATGTTTTTTACGCTGCATCCATCGGGTTTCAGATGCCTGGCCCTTGCGGGGTCCTGATGAAGTAAACGTGCCAGACTGGACACACATGCACAAATTCGAAGGGGATGAGGCCACTGCTCAGCTTCTTGGAACCCCATCATACCAAGAAGTAAGCTGCAAAGTCGAAAGAAAACACTGGACAAACACAGTCAAAGGATTGCATCCAGGACTTACAATGAAAACATACAGAAGTCTGTTAAGGCAATGGTGTTTCCTTGGACCAGTCAAGGTGCTGGGTTGAGCCTCCACAGCTTCCCCCGCTGCCTCATCCTCAGGGCTCATGGAGCACTGCAGCTTACGGGCATAGGCATAAGATGTCTTAAGGCAGAAAGCCGGCATGTGAAACCACTGCCTTCGGCGTCTTAACTAAGCTGAAAAAAGCGTTGCGTCACAAAGTTGGACTTAAGCTGAAAAGGACGAAACATGGCACCGTTCATCAACAGCCTTGTACAACGGGCATGGATGCAGAGCAAGACAGAAATTCAGCGCAGAAGTGAAGCGCTGAAGGTGTTTGGTCAGCTGGTAGTGGAACTATTTGTAACTGAGTGATTGTCTAGGGCTTGAGACCAGCAAGTCGATTGCTATTGGTTACTAACTTGCTGGCTGGATTGAAGGAGTTGGGAAGGAGCTTTGCGAGAAAGTCACACATGTCGTATAGCCTCAGCCCCTTCACACCCCCAGAGTACTGGAATCTTTCACAGAGCATGCTGGGATTAAACGATGCAGAGGAACAGGATGAAATTCGGTAGACCTCATCTCAGCCTTACCTCCAGTCAAAAATCACATGAGCCATCATCTAAACTCCTAGTACCCCCCTTAAGAACCCGTATAATAGTCCCTTATACAATCCGCTATAAAAGGCCCCTTAAGGAGTTTAGACTATAGCTCACATGGTATGCGCACCATTTTCAGGAGGCTTTTTTCCTTCTGCCTCACTTCTGGACCACACCTTTGTTTCGAGAGGTACGTGCTACGTAGACTCAAGTTTGACAAATTGGTTTCCCAAAATTAGGGGTACCATCCGGGGGTCCCCAGAAGAAGGATTATGGTAGATTGGGGTCTATGTTACTCCGCGCTATCTCTGAGGTCTGAGCAAACGAGCACTACACAGCAGAAGGCACATCATCAGAACTGTGGCCCAACCGTCTTCAAGACTGCTTTGTTGGGGGTTCCCTGTTTTGGGAAACTACCAAATGAGCTACGGTCCAAACTGCGAGTCTGCCCTTCATATCCCCGGTTTTACTCCCCTATCGAATCCCCTGGCTTCGAGGAGTTTAGATTATAGCTCAAATGCTTACAGCCACTGGCCTCCTCTGGCAACCTGGCCAGCACGGAACAGGGCCCCAGCGTTGGGGCCTCAAAGCACTTCAGATTTGGGGAACTTCCATCTTCCCAGTCAGTCTCCCAAAAAAGAAAGCGTGAAGGGCCAGTTCCAACTTCAGAACAAGGAAGAGTTAACACCTTGCATATCATCTCCAGACCCCCAGCTTTGCAGACCTGATTTCATGGTATATATTTCGCAAGGAGACGTCATGAGAGCGGATGGAATTTCCATGAGGCCCAGCGGTGTACTGGCGTTGTTTCTGTACAAGGTCCTGCGGGTCGTAGTTCAATCAACGTCGGCGCTCGGGTCTGTAGATGACGGACAGTCTCTTCTATCCCTCCCCTTGGTGGGGTGAAAAAGGCAGGGCAGTGGACGACTCGCCAATAAATTGGATACTCCCCAAGCCCAAGTATCCCTAAAGCCTACTGGTAGTAGTCCGGTACTAATCAATATTCTTATCAATGATAAGGATTGGAACATTTGCTTGAGGCACCGGCTTGCTCTGAAGCTAGCACTTCTAAAGCTCAAGAACGCAAAGCAAGCAAGGATAATTACTCAAACTGTGAGATCTGTTGAACGCGATTGATTTCCTGATCTTACGTACAAAGATCTAACCTTAAGGATCGTATCTGGAACCTGCGAACACCACGAGGAAGACCTAAAGGCTTCAAAGCGATGTAGGAAGCCTCGACAACGTTGCAATTGCACCAGACCTGTCTTTCATCGTTGCGATCCCTCCCAGCTATGAAGTGCAGCCTGGGGCACTGGAGCTACAGGCAGCGTCTCTTCGAAGGCCACTGGGTCAAGCGCAGCCTGCGAGCGCAAAGCGAGTTGGATTCCTTTCTGCTTCCTTACGACAGCAAGTAGTAAGTCGTCACATCTGCACGTGCTTTGTAAGTGAATCTGAGCTCTACCACTTGGCTGCCATTTCTGCAGTGCTGGCCTCAATCCGCGCAGCGCCGTCTGCACTAACGGCCATGCTGCCTGGAGTTGGCTGGACTTGTCCATGCGGTGCCATCTGGGGGTCTGGGAGGCGCGGTTCAGGTGGCTCAGGCTCGGGATCCGGCTTTGGGGCCGGCCTAATATCCGCTGGGACTGCAGGCTTGCCATCAGGCTTGCCTTGCGGGGCTGCAGAAGCTGTGACCTTGGGGCTGTCAAGCTTACAGGTCTCCACAGCGCGGAGATGTTGCAGAACCTCGGTGGGGATGCCCACTTTGGCAACATCCACCGTTGTCATGGCCGAAGGGCTTGGCGGCTGTGCAGCAGGGCCAGAAGAAGGAGGGGCGAGCGTCAAAGGAGAGACCAGGGCCGGAATGGCTGCACTGGCTGGACCGGCCTCAGCCGTGGCTTCAGCCTTGGCCTTGGCCTCATTCCGCAGGAGAGTGTTGTCCAAGGCTTGCAGCTGAAGGATGAGGAAATGGTGTGGGGTGTCGTCGCCTTGGTTCCGAGCAAAGCTGAGCGTGGCACCGGGCCCAAGCTCGTTGGACTGCCCTTGCCAAAGAGCGGTAGAATTCACGAAGATAGGGTTCTGAGTGAGGTTGGTAATGCGGATCTTGGAGCTATCTCTGGGGGCCTCCACATCTGCATGCGTACGCGAGATGATGCTCAGGAATTGTGGTGACTTGGCCAGCAGGGCTTCCAGAAACTTGGCCTGGTGCTGACGACCAAGGTGAGACTTTCCATCCGGAAGCGTCACAGCCCGCAGAGCGCTTGGCAGGGCCTGGAGTACTTCTTGGGAGAAGCCCTCAGAATGCAGGCACATGAGCTGCCAGCGTCCAGCAGGCTTTGGCGGATTAGCTGCTGTAGGGGGCAAAGGGTGCAATGGTGCAGGAGCCGATGCTGGGGGAGGGAGTGTGACCGGTGCTGGCTGAGCTTGGGGCTGAGGCTGTGCACAAGGCTGGGGCTGGGGGTGCTCTGATTGAAGTTTGGGCTTGGCCTTGGGTGGCAGCTGTGCCGGTTGCGTTACCTGAGTGTCTGCAGCCTTGACCCGGCTGGGATGGGCAGCCTCCTGCACATCCAAATGGTAGTGAAACTCATCCGAGGCACCACCTGGCACAGGCACCATCGCATGGCCCTGAACGATTGCCGGGATCCACTGGCCAGTGCTGCGGGAAAGGTATTGAACTCTTTCCCCAAAGCAGAATATCCGCTCCTGGGTTCGGCTGGCTTTAGGAGGAGCTTTAGCCTGTTGCTGCGGCTGATACATGTTGCCCCAGACTACCGTGGAAGCTTCATTCGCGTGCACAACTCTGGCAGCCTGCACATCACATGGATCACATGGCTAGGTCGCAGGATGTGGGATTTCAGTGCTGCCGCCATGAACTCCATGTGTGCTGCTGTTGTGAATTTGCGAAGAGGCTGAGGTGGAACAGAGATAAAGTAAAGGACCTGCTCGTGCCTGTCATGAGCCCCGGTTGCTCACATAAGCTGAAGATGGAAATTCAATGAAATTCAAGCTCAGCAGGGTTCACGGAGTGTTTGAACCGAAGCAGCGCCATGACCAAAGTACTCCAGCAGGCGCCTAGTCACGCAACTCGCCACTGTGTGCAGGAAAGCTTGAAAGCCATTCTTTCGGGCAGCGCCCCAGCGCACCTCCTCCTTGGCCCTCCTGGCAGGAAATCCACCATGCTCAGTTCTGGGCGCTGCGCTCAGCCATGCAATGTGTGTGTGTGCATATTGTTGCCAAAAAAGCCGGAGCGCAACCAACTCAACTTGCCAACTCAACTTGGAGAAATAAGAAACACCAAGCGACCCATGCAAGGGCATGATTCGGAGAAAGCACAGTTGGTACCTCAAAGGCCATGGTGCCACCTGCGGTGTGGAAGCGTCAGCGGCATCAGCAGCCCCAATGCCTGGCCCACTTCACTTTGATGTAGCTCGTGCGAAATTCTTCGCCAAGAAAATCTGAATTGGGCTTGGCAGCTTAAAGCTTGGAAGCTAGATTGTGAGCTGTCCTAAAACTGAGGTTCCAAAATAATCCGTTGGATGATGCTGGATTTTGGCGTTTATCCTCACTGGCTCCATGCAAGACACCTCCGTCAAGATTGACAGTGGAGCGTGGGGAATTGACATTTTCTCGGCCAGTGAACTGCTGCAAAGCTGCTTTGGGACAAGCCTTCAGTTGAAAAGCTGTCCATGAGACTGAGAAACTCAGGATCATAAGTGCTCAGTCCCATGAACCTCCTAAGAGAAGAATGTTGGCCCAGCCTCCCTGGCCTCTTGCGGGCAGAGGGGTCAAGCTCTTTCTTGACACCTGGCCAGACATGGGGGCTAGCTGGGACACAGTAAACTGCGTGAAGAATTGAAGGAGGGTGACGTGAGAACGCAATAATCAAGACCTCAAATAGGAAAACGCTATTAGACTGTTAGGGGCACTGTCAATGCGACCCTGTCCTATAGATCCCATGATCATGGATGAAGGTTCTCTGCAAATGAGCCGTACTGTCTATAGGTCCGCACTTCGCCAAAGGCAAGCTTTCCCTCTTTGGCCTAATGCTCGACGAATGATTGCTACCAAAGTTGCTACCCCAAACTGGCTCAGGAAGCTCCTCCTCCTATGACTATCATGACGAACACTATGGGGAGCAGCTGTGCCAGCGTATATCAACGTCCTTGAATAAGCTTTCGCCACGCCTGGTCAACCCCACGACACTTACTGCCGTCAGATGGCAAGTGCTAGCCCATCTTTGAAAAAATGTTCTCATGCTCCTTTACTTTTCGGCAGTAGTACTCTGAGCCTTGGACACATAGCTGGCCTATTGTCCAACGAATTCCAATGGTTGAATAATTCGCCGAGGCTTGCCATCACTTATGAAAAGAGGCTCTTCACCTGCTTCCCTAGGTTAGAGTTCATGATTGCGCGGACTGAGATTGCAAAGAACTTGAGCAAAACCAACGGTTTCCGAAGAACTATACTATAGTACATAATTTCACATATGATAATGGGATAATGGAAAATGGAAACTACGTCCACGGTATGTAGTCCGCCGTGGTTTGAAAGCCATGCGAGGTCCGAGAGAAGTACAGAAAGCACGCTGTTCGCTTGGAAATTACCAGTATTTGTCTTTTAGCATGCCTAAGGAAATGCACCATCCTATAACATTTTAATATTTTGGGGTGCAGAAAATGCATTTCGTATTGCAAATTCCAAAACGAAGCCTGTTTTCTGGAAAGTTGCAGACTACTTCAGTTTTTTGAGGATAGCATGGAAATTCCCAAGCGAACAGTGTCGTCGTTGGGACGGAGTGTTTCGCTGCGCTCACACGCTGTCAGTATAAGGGCCCGCAAGAACTCCTTTGGAGTCTGTGCGCGGGCTGTCACCATATGCGCGCGCTCCGGAATGGATGTTGTTATGGTTTGGGCATGGATGCTCTCATAATCGCAGTCACCTGAACAGGAGCGAAATTTCCACCGCACCTCCCGCACACCCCCCATGTAGGGTTAAGGCGGCATATACACCGTGCACCAACTACTCTACTATTATAGGGACTATGTAAAGGTTTCTAAGAAGCTTTTTTTCACGCAGCGCCATGGCTTCGGGCGCGAGCAGCGGCATCTGCAAAGTCCGCCGCCAGGTTTTGGTGAGGCCTGGAACAATCGCACCGCCGTGACACATGGTACCGTCCCAAAATAGAAATAGGGGGCCCCAATACAGACCCAGGAAAGGCACCCCCCAAAAGGACACCCCTAATTTGGGGAAACCCCCACATCTAGCATTGCAAAGGGCTTGAATTGAAGTCTAACGCATTCAGCCATGACATGACTTAATATTAAGTTCCTTCTACTCCAGCCCTAGGCTGCGCAGCAGAAGCAGCAGCAAGGTTGTAACTGTAACCCTGAAGCCCAGATGGCCTGCCGTTCCCGGAATCGAACCACGCAGCGCGGACTGTGCGACGGGAGCTCCGGCCCGAGAGTTGCGGAGTGGCTTCCTCAGCAATCCTATGAATGGCAATTCCATGAGAACTCTAAAGCCCACGTATGACTGCTATTGACAATCTAGTGCTTAAGATTGTAGATTCCAAGGCTGACATGATCTGAAAGCAAATTCTGCGACTGCAAGCTGTGCTGCACACCTTCGGAACCCTTAGGACGTCACGCTTTGCCCTCATGAAGTTGCAACAGCAAAAACTAACGACATGTGGCTCCAAGCTTCGAAAAAATAATGATAGGATTCGCACACGACGAGGAGAAGCCCTATGTAAACCTCATAGAAGCCCCTTATTCCTGCATCATCCCTGAACTATTTCTCTATCAAGCTAGGACGCCGAAACTTTTGCAGCAGCACCCGCAACGAGGCGTTGCACACGCGCGGACAAAGACTCTGCCTCCTTCAGGGCCATCCTTGTCATCCTTTCTAACAGCTGCCATGCGCTACTAACACTCGAAGACCATTGATGGCTAGTAAGGCCTCCAGCGATGGCAATTTTCAGCATATGAGCTATGCTCCTAATATCCCCCTTAATAATCCCTATTGTAGTCCCCGATATACTCCCCTCTATAACCCCCCATGAAGGAGTTTAGACTATAGCTCATATGTTGTATTCAAGCCCACGCTTGCTTCTCAGATGTGTTCGCAACAGCAGTTCCAACTCTTGAGCACTCCCCTGACTACACGGCTCCATCATGTGCAATAGAATTTGGCTCACTAAGAGGAATCGCAGAGTCGCAGAAAATGCCCAAGTTATTACTGGTCTGAAACAGCTTGCCCAGGGAGGAAGCACTTGTTTGCCAACGACCCGGGATAAAAGGCAAGACTGTTTAGGGGAATCAGCAAGCCTTCACAGTGTTCCAAAACTGAGAGCGCTGGAAACTGCACCTACGCGCAATCAATAATGGCTTAACTATATTTACCACAGACAGCGCGGGCTAAAACCCAGAATGGCTTGACTTTACTTAATTAACACGAACGGCGTTGCTGGGGCTAAGCTTGTATGCTTGCGGGTTAGCTATAGCGAAAGCGGAGCACCAGACAAAATGACGGCTGGACTTGGAGCTTAAGTGCCACTAACCCATGTCCTCGGGGTCCTCGGTTGGCACCTCTGCAAGAGAAGGAGTCGATATTTTGATGAAATGCTGTCGAGAAAGCAACACGTTCTCAAAACCCCTGCGGGCTGCCAACCCGCAGCTCTTGTAAGCCCATCTTAGGTCTCAAAATCCTTGCGGGCTGCCAGCCCGCAACTCTTGAAAGCCCATCTTCTTGGGTCTCAAAATCCCTGCGGGCTGCCAGCTCGCAGCTCTTGTAAGCCCATCTTAGGTCTCAAATCCCTGCGGGCTGCCAGCCCGCAGCTCTTGTAAGCCCATCTTAAGTCTCAAAATCCCTACGCGCTGCCAGCCCGCAGCTCTTGTAAGCCCATCTTAGGTCTCCAAACCCCTGCGGGCTGCCAGCCCGCAGCTCTTGTAAGCCCATTTTGGGTCTCAAAACCCCTGCGGGCTGCCAGCCCGCAGCTCTTGTAGGCCCATCTAATCCCTGCAGGCTGCCAGCCCGCAGCTCTTGTAAGCCCATTTTAGGTCTCAAAACCCCTGCAGGCTGCCAGCCCGCAGCTCTTGTAAGCCCATCGGGCTGCCAGCCCGCAGCTCTTCT